TGATGGCAATATGTACCCGACCCGAAAATGGTCGTGTTGCGGTGATGCGTTTCTCCTGCAGCTGTTACGACCACACTTTTCCAGGTCTCAGATTTGTATCAGGTTCAGTCAAAATCAAAGTAAACTGGGCTAAACCCGAAACTCGGTGAACATCTGCTGGTTTCAAGGGTCACTTTTTTCTGAATGGGAGCAGTTGCAACTTCCTAAAGGGAACAATGATAAAGGAATACTGATCTAGTTAGTTTTTTGGGTGGAGCTGTTGACGATGGGTGCACGTACTTCGTTATGTCGAGTTTAATAATATTTTGGGTCACGTGCCATAAAAATTATGAAAAGATGAAGTGGTCAAACACTCGCCAAATACTTTTACTTTTTGTCAAAATACCTTCCTTGCATATGTAAATCTTACGTGCTTGCATTAATTGTTCTTTAAAATTTATAGTTTGATTTATACGAGGCATTGTTTATTAATGGGTTCTGTTTTCATGCGACACTTATGGCTGAGATTGCTCATTACAAAATTGCTCACCAATGACGCTCTTAGTAATTGCTGGTATTTCGCATAACTATTTACTGCTAAAATTTTAATGTCTTTCAAGATTGCTCCAATACATATTTACTTATAACAAATCGTTGCCTCATAGCAGGCGGAAGTACTAAAATACCTCTAGAATAAGATCGTTAGAATGCAATATCTAGAATAAAAAATGAATGCATTGATAAAATCAAAATTTTGAAATACTCTCTGAAGAAGGCATACAGATTTTTTTAAATCTATAGCCAGGCAATGATTGTATCTTTTCCCTTTGAACGCTTTTTACTCAACTTCTTTAAAGGCAGCATTAATTAAATCAGCTCCCCTTTCATTTGATAAAGTCGAATTCCAGCTAATCTAATAAGCTACTCCAGAATTATTATAATTTCTCCCACTGGTTCGGAATTAAAAAGCACCCAAGTCAGGAAGAAATTGAATTAAAACTGAAACAAGTGTATGCGTAGAGGTTCTATTTGATCTATTTCACGGTTCATTTGCGTATACATTATTTTTATGCGGGGATAACATTTGGTTGCATTGCATCATATGTAACATTGAATATCACGGCGTATGTATGTAATCCTGTCACATGTATCAAAGTTCAAAAGCTTAAAATCGAATAAAATCAGATCGAAATATACGATACACCAATCATTCGTGAAACTCACCCCTCTCAACCCCTGCTGATATTCCCCTGTTTTAGTGTTATTCATGCTGAGAGTGGTTTCACATTTTAATTTTACGATCCTCCAATATTTCACTCATTTAAATCAGTATACGGCCAAAACTGATCATTGATACATCACGCCCTGTACTCAAACATCGTCATAAATCCAAATATTCTTTGAGAAGTATTAGCAGGGAGATTTTATCCGTAATCGTCGTCGTACAGATCTACAAAGGGGCCAGGATGCTCAAATTATTGGGATCGGATAGCCTGCAATGCACACGGCCCACGCCTTCATATTTGCTTACAAGTTCCAATTACAAATCCCATATATCAATAAAGCTTGTAAAGGAAACCAATTGAGATGGAGGGACCAAGTTCATTGAACAATTTGGAGCTGCTATAAATTAAAGGGACCCAACTTCCACTGAACCCATTGATTAAGATTAAGTGTGGTTGGTCGGTAGCAGCAATCGACGATAAGAGGAGGGCTGAAAGTTGTATTAGATAAGTGTCCTCATATCGTTTTCTCTCGTGCACGTATGTACACGAGTGTCATGTGTAGTGTAGTTTGCTGGATGCGATAGTGAATAGTGACCCTGTCCTATATAACGCCCGCAGTCCGCACTGATATCGGTGTGGGTTTCGTCGCTTGATCATTTGTAAAACCTTTAAAAGCCTAGTTTGCACGAACATTCTTTGATTCGAGGTTGAGTTCTGGACGGAATTGGATGACAAAATTGTGTAGTCCGAGAATTATTATTCGGTGTGTGTCCTATCCGATTTTTCAATAATATCTTCCCAACACAATTCAAAAAACCTTAGTCTTAAACAAGACAAAATATTTATATATTGTCCACATTGAAGTCATTCTAGTGCGGCGTTATTTTAATCACCAGCCTTGCTCAGAGTCATTCGTCTCATATCACCTCCAATTTCATCTTGACTATATAACATGCAAACATAACTTTTGTTGTCCACGAATTGCTACACATTTGTCAACTGACTTATCTTTAAAAAGTGTCAACTTTGGTTCGACTTGTGAGTGTGGGTGTGGAAGAATTATTAGCCTCGTATATATTTACTTGTACGAAGTCGTGCTAAAAATTGACGACTACACATTTATCATCTTTTTCTGAGCTGTGATCAGAAGTTCAAATGTTAAGTCATGCAAAGGCTTAACCCTGACCGAAATATTTTGTTATCATCATCGTACTCAATTCAAGTCGGATTTGGATGTGGCATTAGCACAAAGGTAACAATAGACAACTCGCCAAACTAATTTGCCAATCATCCCCTGTTTGTGATGTACCTGTTTGCATGCATGTTTTTAAGCCCACGACCACTATCGACTACAAATACACCACATCTGCTGCCTCACATTATTATTATATTGACATAATCCCAACTTGCAAATCTTGACAACTTGTCTTAAGCTCGTGACAAGCAACATTTTCAATAACTCGTGTTATTCAAAGTTGGACATTGACTTTAGAGACGGGGTTTCTTCTCAATGTTGTCTCTTCCATGCATATATATACAGTCAGTCAGGCTTAGCAAATAATAATGAGAGTGATTTGCCTTTTTAATTAAATTTAGCGATAATAATGCAAATGCCAGTGTTCACCTCGCTAAATTGATTGTGTACAAGAAAAATTAGGACCAACATGTGTTGAGGTGTCATTTGGAAAAGAACGCGTGTACACATGTCCAAGTAGAAAAGCAGTTCGTCATGTTGCGAATATGACGAGTGATCCGAATAAGGAGTTGGGAAAGCCAATAAATGTGGCACGGGCCAACTTGGATAACAGTAGCGTGTCCGTCGTGCAGACAAGATTGTTTCGAAAGACAATTCATTTAATTGTCAAATAATGGCTGCCTAGAACAGGAGGTGATAATGACGACGTCCTTAACTAATTATGTAGATCTTAATAAATCTCGTTAATTATACGGCTACGGGACGGAGACGACGAAAGCATGCAAACAATTAATTGATCTTCCCTTGGATTTGAATAAACATGAGGAAAACACGCATGTCTGGCTTGTGTACACCGAGGCGTGGCACCAGGTCAGAATAAGTAATTGCTTGTTGTGGGTGCGGTTCATTGGAGGGATAACGATTTAACTAGGAATTCTGCAAAGTTATGGCTTCATAAGTATCAATATTTGAAAGTGTGCTGATGAGTTAATCTTCGAATGAATTTCTTCAAGTTTTCGCTCAGATTGTTCATTTGGATTTATTGGCCAAATCTTCCTGATGCACACACGCTATTCCCCATTTTCATTTGATTGGATGGGAGGGATTCTGCATGTCCTGAGGTTTTCTGATTGAGCTCAGAGGCCTTCATAATTGACACTGACAATAACCAATATCTGAGCGAATAATGATAATAAACAAGTCAAACACAATTATGGAAATATGCATTTCCTGCTGTCTCTCATGACCAAAGTTATGTGATGGAGAAATACAAAACTCTTTTGAAATTGAAAGTTGCCTTATTCACGCGAGTGAGTTTTCACTTGACCAAGCCAATGCACTTGTCAATATGTGTGTATTTCAAACAATGGAAATGTTTTGGATCGCTTTGAATAATCGTGCTAAAAAATCCTGCAGAATAAAACAATCTCGTGTCATTGCATATGCATGTAAATACATACATTGTTGCATTTAATGTGAATCACCCTGCCACCAATGTGCGAGTGAAATTGATAAAGCCCAAGCCGTGACAGCTGGTGGTTCGCTAAATAATTTAGCACCGTGAGAATTTGCATTTTCTCCCAGACATGGCTTGGCTTGAACGTGGAAGTAAATCGAACCAACATATCGACATTTGACACCAAAATGAAAATAAACAAATGGTAAAAGTTTGTTCGTTTCGAGTTTGCTTGGGATATCGAGTTGAACGAATAATAATATTTATTAATGAAATGGAATTTCACGTGACGAATGAAATTGTCCGTTCGCTTGAGTAAATGACGGAATAAAGCCAGACATATTATTTTGACTTTAATTTCTACAGATTGTGAAATATGAGCTATAGTTGATTGAATGAGATAAGTAACCATAAACTGTGAAATAATATTAGAACACACATCCATAAACTTACAAAACTCCAAGTCTACATACGTACACACAGAATATGAAACCAAATACTTATGTATTCGCAAAATTATCAACAGTTTCATGCTATTTGCTGATTGAATGTCTACTTTGATCTGATAATTTTGATTTTGACAAGTGCATCCAAACTATTGTTCATGAATTCATTACAAAATGCATTGTATTCATGAATCATAGCGAAGTTGTAACTTAATCCTTGCTAACGTTTAGTAAGTACCTGACTTTGAGTTGTCACAAATAAAACTCGTTAACTTAATTTAATCCCAATGTGCAAAGTGGGTTTGCATTAGCGAATGGTTGATAAATCCGAGTTAGCACTTGCTTCAGTGGTGAAATTGTAGAGGTTATTTCTCTCTACTTATCCTTCTTCTATTGCTCTGGTCAGTACAAACAATTGTAATTTGTCAAATTCAAAATGCATTATGAAAGCAAGTTCGCATCATGCACCACTTCCTTTTCTTCACGTGTTTGTATCAAAATCGAAAGTTTTCGCGTTTTTTTGTGTCGTCAACTTGTCAAAGCACTGCATGTGCATTGGCGTTACATATGTATGCATTCATGTGCATACTATGTAGTTACATGTACGATACATACTAGGCGTGTTTGTAATCATGATGTCGTTAAAGCGTATAAAATACATATTTTCACTATATATGATTACGTGGTTTATATTGCAGGGTCCTCAACCGATCTGGTGCCGACGTTGCTGAGCATGTATGATACCCTTTTGGCCGAACGTCTTTCCGTGGATGGTGGTCAGTTTGTCAAAAACTTGAGTGGAACCTGTACTTCGAACGGCAGCAGCAGTAGCAGTACTCGAAGCAGTGCCACAGCCGCCTCCACAACCACGGACGGGATAGGTGGAGGATGGGGGTCAGAGAAATTGGAGACAAAAAACGGGATGCAAAGTGCCACATCTGGGTCCAGGCTGAAGGGACCAAGCAGCTCAACAATAAACGGTGGTGGTGGCTACACTGCTGGAACTGGAAAACGGTGTGATTGGAACTCTGCAGTGTCAGTGTCAACTTTGTTCCACGCTGGAATGGAACTCGGTGGTGGCAGTGTCTCCAATAATAAAAGCAATAACAATGGTGGTTGCCCTACTAGTGGTGCAACAGTAGATATCAGTGACAACAATAAGACGATAACGACAGCCGTGTTAACTCGAGCCCACTGGACAACCACGAATCTCATCAACCAGCAAAAGTATCTCAACACCAATAAAAATGGGGCAATTAATAAAAATTTGCTTCACCCTGCTGGTGACTTAAATAGTGGGAGTAGTAGTAACATGCCTCATGGGGCAGAGAATCAGAAGAGACCACTCTCGGTCAACTCCATCGCGTCCTCGGCGTCCTCCTCTTCCTGTTCTTCAGAGTCGTCTTCTCTGAATGTTCCAGGAGGGACGACACCTCAGCTACTCGCCCCAAAGGCATCCCCCGAAGAAGAAATCACTCTCGACCTCACGACGGATGAGCAAAGTGCAAGAAATCACCGATCAGCCAAAACAAAGAATCTCATAACAACAAACGCTAATGGAAAAGCAAACAACGACTCAACCAGTTCAATGGATTCAAGTCACAGATGCTTTAGCAACTCTGCCACCAAAGGTGAGTTCCGTGTGGGATTTTAGTTTCTCATTACGCTTTTTTATACCTGCAATTAATTACTTTCTGGGAAATTTTTGCAATTCACGAACTCATCAACTTGTTCACAAGCAAGGAATATTATTATCTTCATCTAATAATGGAATGAGGTGCGGTGCCCACAGTTTTACATTGTTTTTGTTCGCCATTTCTTCACGGAGGTTGAGAATGGAACGTTCATAAAATTAATAAGACGAGTAATGTACCGCAGCTCGATGGTCTATTATTAACGTAACCTTGATCGTTTAATGAGAATTTTCGCATTATCCAACTCAGCACATTCATAATTCATCAACATTACATATTATAAATATTATCCCACTAATCCTACCACTGCTCTACGTAAACAAACTGTGCATGCGTCGAAGTTTGAGCCTACATCTAAAGTATTTGTTATTATTTTTTGTGCATTGAAATCGCGTTCATGTAGCTTCAACAAATTTGAGGATAAAGTGCATCATAAAGAAATCATGAGGAGGTAATTTAAGTCTGGGTGTGCTTGTACTGCACATAATTTTCATATCCAATCTTCTCATGGAGAGATGAGACAAGAGATGGACAGCTATTTTAACTAACTAATAATATGTATGACCCACAATGTGCAGTCCAAAGTTGGTTGTTCATCTCCACAACTTCCTCCCCGACGACGACGACGAGGAAGATGAAGTTTATTTATTTGTGAGGGAGACTAAGCCTGTGCTCATGGCTTAATTCACCCATTCAAGTCTTATATAATGCATGCTCTGTGTCGGCATCTCATCAATCCTTTTCCACCTCCTTTTCTATGCTTCATCATCAGCGATCATGATCTTCAAATCTGAAATGAATGTGCACATTGTGTGCTCTTCTTCTCCTGTCTGCTGCTCCTGTCTTGTTGTTATTAGCCGCATAAGTTCCATTTTCTTGCTTGAGCAGCTTCACACAATAACTGCTGAGCTACGGTGAAGAACCAAATCAAAATCAGTGAGCACAAAGCAAAGCCAACTCTCCAGGCTGCCCTCCGTTGTTATTCTCCAAGTGAGACAGTTCGAAATGCAGAATATGAAGCAAGGGATGAGACGATGCAAATGTTTTACACGACACGATGCATGGCTGGACCGACTAAATGAACTACTCAAGGTTCTACTTTACTCACTTTTATTTTTTATCACCTAGCTCTACACAAATTAAACTTGCTGCACTCACTCCAAGAAGGGAAGAGAGTCTTTTGGCAGTAGATATACGGACGTATCGCTTAAAAGGAATAGCAGTAATTTCATCCTGGATGTAAAAGCATCCTCTCTCTCTCCGTCTGATTCGTGGGGATTGGATACGTCTCAGTGATCAAAGACATCGAAAACTGTTGGAATTTATTTGCTGGAGAACCTTCCTTCAACTTGACGAGTGGAGGAAAAGATGATCATTATTTATTTGGCTACTGCATTGTGAGATAGACGATGGATGGCGAAGCAACAAATCCAAGCCTGCAAACATAGGTCTCACTGCTGGACTCTTCAAATACAATTAAAATTGAAGAGGGAGAGAGAATTGGTCGCTATTTAGTGGTTTCAGTAGACAAAGGACACCACGCAAACTGCTTTTTAATCACTGTCTGTTATACGCAGTAAGGGACACCATTATTAAAATTATATTTGATTGTACGAAGAAGAACCCTTGGCTGACATAGATACGTCAGAGTGGACGATGAAATGTTGATGGATCGTGTTTTCATGATGAGCACTAGAATTTTGTCCAGTCACGCCAACAAGACGAAAGTCGTATTCATGAGAAGAAGCAGATACATATCCACCTGCTCTTTTAATTTGTCGAGTAATCTAATCTCAATTTACATGAGCACAATAAGACTCAAATTATCCTCTAGCGATTTATTTACCTCCACGCAAGCAAAACAATTTAATAACAGCTAAACGTGTTTTCAAGTAGATTATAATATGCCAAACTTATAAATTCGCAGCTTATTATTTGCACGAGGTTTTGCTTTCTTCATCTCAATTACACAAATGGCGAGTATCAGAAAAGTACAAAATGTTGAACGCAGCATTTACTTTTACACAAGTACACGTGAAACAATGACTTGATTTATTTGAAAAGACGTGTTTTGCTACAAGTGGATTTGCATGATTGCAATAATAACATTATTACAAGTTGTTAGCTTCTCCAGTCTTGCGTATAATATTTCTTATCCAGAGACAAAAACCACGGTTTTTATATTTGTCCGACGTACTTACATAAATGCGTGCGTGGTACAATACCGTACCACGAGTGCATACTACAAGAACACGTTTTGGAATTATGTGGTTTTAGATAGTTGCACGGTTGGCCCGTTCTCAAGAATGATAATGAAGATTGCATGAACGAGAATTTGTATATTTTCTCAAAAAAAGATTCAGACTGGATGATTCATGGAATGAGCAGACTGGATGTGATAAGTTATTTGAGGCCTAAATATTACAGCATCCAAACTAAATAAATACACACACGACTTCATTATCACACGAGCAGTTTACTTTATTATATTTAATTATGGATAGTTCTGCATCTGCTTAAAAGGTCGGATGGAAATGTTCTGGGCAGTGTGTAAAGAATAGCTTTCAGTTTCTTTTCTTTTCATTGAACGTGGTCTTCAGTTTGTCACACTTATTAGCATGTTCATGGTCCTTGCGCTGAAGCTGTTGTTGAAAAGTACATTAATTTTCTGAGTACCAAAAAGTTGGACGTGTCAAAAGTTTCTGTTCCAAAAGAATCTGGAAAAGTCGAGTTTATTTATTATGTTTAAGTAATTGCAGTAACAAAATTGAGAGTGTGGTTTTGTTATGTACACAATCTCGATATTATTATGAGAGATGGGCGAAATTTGCAATGCATGCTTTTTGTACGAGTATAGATTTATGATTGGTCAATACTAAAATAAATATCTCAATATTCATGTGGCCCACTTCCTTCCTTGCTGTATGTGCAGACATAGTCGTCTGTATTAGTCTGCATGCATGCTAATTGAAGCAAAATTCTGTTTCCCTTAATTGAAAACCTTGATCTGGTTCTGTTTCACTTTTCATATATTAAAGTCAACAACTGAGCAACTGTCCTTCCTTCCTCATCTCGGATGCAGTACGAATGAAATGACCCGTGTGTCGGCGGATCAAGTTGTTGTGACCATATGGCGTCTTTCTCGGAAGAGAAAATTAACGGATGGTTCTCCTCCTTCGTCTCATATTACTTACTTTACTTACTTTGGACGGACTTTCTATGAACTTTGGGTCGAGTCGGAGCTTGGAGGCAGTTATGGACTAAATCCTATTTGGGGGAAGCAATTATTCCCGACTTGTGTATTTACTTTTATTCTCTGAAGAGGGATTGTGTCGCGAGCCACTTGGGTGCATTGCATGTTAACGATCATAAAGTTTTGAAGGGAGTGGAAATGATGAAGAAAAGGAAGTAGGAAGGAAGGATATGCAGGAAGTCGAAAAGTCAAATGTTTGACTTTTTCGGATGGCACATGTCTTTATTATTGTTAATTTTCTAGCCTTATGCATACACAGCCCATAAGCCTTTTGCAAGTAATGCAAAGTTAAATATTCCTTCTAAATTAATCCACAATTTCAAGTAATCCACTCATTTTAGTTCTTCATAACTTTTAAAAGAAGAGCAAACTTGAAAAGACAAAACTTTTCGAGATGTCGTAATTTAATAATTCACTTTCTTTAGTCGCTTAAAACATTCTCTTAATTTTGCATATTTTCGAGAAGTCATACTTTATGTGAATTTTACAGTGTGCTTGCCACTTGCCACAAGTTCTTATTCTCAAGTTGCCGAGAAATGCAAACTTGTCAGAATTTAGAGAACATCCAGCCGAGTTGCACATCCGCCCTTGAATCTTTTCACTTCCGCCAAACAGCGTTCCCTCAATTAGTTTACTTTTGCTGGCTGCTTGCTTAATAATCTGCCAGACTTGTCTGAAAAGTTGAGTTAAACTTTGAAGAACATTCATCTGTTGTGCATTGAATTTAACCCTTTGACCACGTTGTAATCATTCCGACTCTGAAAACCACTCTAACCCGCGTCCAATTCATGAATGCATTCATCTCCTCGAATTTATTTAAACGAGCGCATTGTACGTATACAAACAAATTGGTGCATTTCAAACCAAGATCAAGTTCATGTTGCCAGCATGCGTTGTTTATGAGATGATGGAAGTCTTAGCGAGTTGATGAAATGAAACCTTTTGATGTTCGACTTGGTTTATGCAGGGAGAAGTTTCAAGCAGTTGTTTAATACAATATTCAGATTGTATTAAATATAAACTGCTACCATTTCCAATTGGTCTTGTTTGATGAGATGGGCGAGTGGGCGGGCTGGCTGGATCAATTACAACAAGTCCCCTTTGTTGGAAACTTTATTCTGCTGAGTTTATTTGCTGTGCATCGCAATTATAAAGTGCACAAATACGAGTGAGATGAATATGCCAAATAATATCATCGATATTGAACGCTAAGTATTATATAACAAACGGACATCATATTTATTTGACGACAAGTTTCGTTTCTAAATTACTTCCCGATTTAGGCCTCTAAAAGTTTAACTACATTTATTCCCCTCGAGTCATTCACTTGTCAGCAGGACATCGTCAATTTCTTCACTTGTCCCTTGAAAACAAACAAGCGTTGTCAGCAGCAAAAGTTGCATCGACTTTTTCTCAAGTTTTTTCATCCACCTCGAACACTTTGGTCTTGGTTTTATCAAAGTCTTTGGCTTTGGTTCAATTGCGGCAATTGCATCCTCAACCAAAATCGGTTCTTCGTCGTTCAAGTTCAAGTTCAATGTGGTCCGCAACGACTGAACACTCTTCTTCTGAATGTGGTTTACTCTGCTTGAACAAGTTTAGTTGCCTGGATATTGATCCATTCCTCCCCCTTCGATGCTCACTCTCTCCCTTCATTTTCATCCCACAGCTCTCTTGGAGGATCAGAATTCACTATTTCGGTCCTGGCGAAAGTTGAAGCAAGTAGTAAAGCTTTCTCTCTCCCACCTTCAAGCTGCTAAATCCGTTGTCAAATCCAGAAATCACCTTTATTTTATTCTCGTCAACCCTGTGGGGGCCGTCTCCTATGCAGAAAGTAGGAAAGAGAAGAGAGTGAGGAAGTGAAACAACTTCCTTATTCTTGCATGAAGAATCTGGAGAAAGTCGGAAAATGCCGTCTGAAAACTAACCTGCATGCATATGGCGACAAAGGCTTTGTGTCAGATATTTGAAATAAATGGTCAAATAAAAAGCTTTCAATAACTCAGCGCAAAGTATTGAAAACCGTTTTTTATGTATTAGGACGGCTCATGGGGTCGCATTATAGCTCTTTGCTCGTAAAGTGTGATTTTGTTTTGTAACGCTGTAATTGTAATTTGTACACAATAAATAATATGAAATTCGTGACGCATAGTTTTCGCTAGTCTTTAATATTTAGAGCACCATTAACGTTATGCAATATGAACGTTCACAAACCCTGCCGTCCGTTCATTTGGAAGTACATCGACACGATGACGGGTGAATGATGGACAGATTGTTGCTGTTTAAGCAAGATTTTCAAAACCTTGAGACACATATTGAAGAAACTATGTATGTAGAACTCTGTGATCTCATTTCTACTCATGTCTCAATTTGGAGTAATTCTGAGTCCATAAATCCATGCATTTTTACAATTTGTTAAAATTTTAAATGCCCAAGTTATGTGAGATATGCGGACTGATTTTCATTATACGTAGACGAAAGTGAACTTTACTACTTATCGACCACTTTTGTTTCTTCCTTATTTGGCCAGCACTTACACTTTATTGGATATTAATGCCAATCATTCGTTTCACATTATCACAGCTGAAAACGTTGCATTGCAAATATTTTAAACTATGTATTCCTCTCGTAACTGAAACTCGTTGAGCGTAGCAAAGTTGTTCTTTCAAGCCAACTAATTTCGTAGATTTTATACGGTCAATATGAGTTCAAACTGTTAAACATTTGACGTTAGAACATGAACCAAAAAACTAAAATGCATGCTGTGATAAACTGGCAGTGTAGGATTTGTGCATTTTGATTGAATTTTTTTAGCACATACGAGTTAATAATCATTTAATCGTCAACAAAATTCTCGATTGTGCATTTTGTTTGTTATTAAATTTTTATCTAAAATATCGAGTTGAATTGTTGTAAATGAGGAAATAATTCGAGATGAAAAGTAATAAATATCAAGTTTTAGAACTTGAAAATTACACTATAAGATCAATTGCAATTCATAATGCCTTATCATTATGTTAATGTATGAATAAACAAGACGGATTACTTGCCCCCCGCAATTTTATGATGGGTCTATAATGTTGGGTTTGGTTTACTTTTAATGGAATGATTTTATTAATATATAAGATTTTATGGGAAATTGGCTAGTGGATGAAACTAATTCTTGGTTTTACTCCAGGCGGTGGTGTTTTGATGAGTATTATTGTGACGTGAAGGTTTTACGTGTGTTCTTCTTACGCATATCTATCATTTGGTTAAAATGTTCATTTCAATTTCCTTTTCTCATGCCCTTCAGCACTTTGCACATAATTTATTAAATTTCAAATGGATAAATTACAGGTGGACAAGTTGGTAATTCAGATACGTTTTTGGCTTGACACTTGAAATTTCACTTTTCTTAAACTTGGCCTCAAGTGATATTAATTGAGGTGTGTTTCAGAATTTTAAGTAAATGTGTAGCTGATATTATTGTCACATCCTGGCACATATCCATATACCTACAAAATTTTGAACTATTCTGCATTTACGACAATTTTTACTTTCGTTTGCATTTTATTTGGTCTGCATTTACATTTATTATGCTAAAAACTTGGTTATAATTCTCAGTACGTACGACAACCTTGTCAAATTATATGTTTTATTTTGTCATTTATTGCGGTTTGTTATGCCCTTTTGCCTTTTAAGAATATGACAACATTTGCAAAGTTGCATGAGAATTGAGACGTTCAGGGCATTACATTGAATCATCTCTCTGAAAAATTGAGCGCTCTCCATTTGCACCTTAGCATTTATCTTCTTTTATTTTTGCATGCATACGTGCATAGTCAAACATACATATTGTGAATTTATGCTTTAAATGTATTTTTTGACTGTTTTCAGATTGCGGAGAGAATGCGACCAATAATTTGGACGGTCGAGGACGAATTTCATTTCCCATCCAGACGCAGACCAACTTCAAGTTTTGTGACCCCAACCTGAGCTACATGGATCGAGTGGTGATGGAAATCGTGGAAACGGAACGGACTTTTGTGCGCGATCTCCAGGAAATCATTTCGGTACGATTTGATTGCTTTCTCTTTTTCTCCACTCAATCATATCCACGAGTCGTCCTCAATGCAGCCATGCGACACTTGCAGTCAACTGCATTCGAACTGATACATATGTTCAACCCTTAAATGATCATGCACCCTCCAAACCATCAATCAACTTGGTGTCACTATTTTGTAGCATTTACAGTGCATATTGTATTCAAACTGGAGATTGACTATTTTTTAATTATCTCATTGAACAATGCACCATGCAGATAGTTCATAATGCAACTTTTAGTTTGTTGAAACCGTATGGTTTATTCTTATGGTTCCTTGTAATCTGTAGTCGACTGGAGTAACATTAAAACTTATTTTCGAAACGTCAACAACAATGAATTTGAGAAGGTGCACTTACTCGAATGTTCTTCAACTTAATGTTTGTGCAACTCTCATATTTTAATTTCCTTTTCCCTGAACATACACTGCAAATGTTTACTTAAGGAGAAGTTCAAGTAGTTTACGTTATCGACGTAAATCTGTTATCTCGAATCTTATTTTTCTGTCGTATTTTTAGCTTCCCACTCGACGCAGATTTGGCTCAGTAGTCAATATGTAGGCATGATATGCTAACGATAAGTTAGGAAAGGTAGCCTCCCGACTACGTCCTTGTCGAATTTGGTCATATAGACTTTTGTAGCTACATATTTATTTATGCCGTGTTGTAAATACTTACATTTGGTCCGAACGGAACGTGTAAATGAAGCGTGGCACTATTGAAATCGTCGTAATATGGCTTTACGGACATTTTTATTATGTTCACAATATGCACTTTTTATGCATTTCGTTTTATGGAGAGCTTAACTCGAAATAGGTTGTGACTGGGCTGATGGCACTAAAAATATGATGATGGAAGTGTGACCATGTCGTAAAAAATCTACCTCAGTCATAATGAAAATATTTTTACGTAATGAATTTGGTGTAGAAAACGGCCATAAATTTCGAAAATTAAGTATTTCACGCATTAATTATTTGCATTTCAAATATTTCCTAATTAATTAACCATGTAGTTAGAATCTACTCTTGTTATTGGACTCCCTTCGTGGGTGTCCATTCATCAGCCATGTAGTGACTTTGCAAAATTTCCAAGAGGTCAACCAACGCCAAATGACTCGTGAATGTTGCTTATAATTGACAAACAATGCCATCATCTGTCAATCAGCTCTTCTTTGCGAACTGATAATGAATCAAAGGTTTTTTCCGCTATCTTATCGAATCTTCTCGGCTGGAAAGTCTTACCGAGTTTTTGCTTGTTATTCCCGAGATAAATAAATAGTGAGAATGTTCGATGCAGATATTATTCGATACAGGTTTGGAATTTTATTAGACCCATAAAATTGTATTACTTGCACGGCTACTAAATTGAATCCGAAGAGAATTTGTCAGGTCATGCTTAATCTTTCAGTTTTTTAGGTCAGTAAATACAAGATGTGTGTGTAGTTGATTTCTATTGAATGTGTCAAGCAGCATGGTAAATTCTTCCGTCAAGTGCCTCTCCAAAGTCACCTTTTTCTGTAGCCATTCATTATTAATTGAAAACGAACAAGGATGACACTTATAAATAATAACTCTCTTGACCAGTGCAATTCCAATGTCCATATTAGACACGGACCATGTCTCTGCTTGGTGGTGGTCATTGGAGCAGGTTTAATAAATGGGACTACAGGTCACCGTGTGGGGTGGTCAAATGAGAAAAAGACAACAATGAGATGTGTTGTTGAACGTGACTTTTCATGTTGAATTGATGGAATGGCCTGGATGGAACTGAAACTGATAACTGAAAGCCATGCACACTTGTCGGATTCAGAACTTTGTTCAGATTGGACGTGGCCCTCCAAAATCAAGAGGGATTAAATTATTTGATGAGAAAGTGTCAAAGTGAATAAAAATCGAATTCCAGATTCGTAATGTTGCGATATTTATAAAGAATATCAAACAGATTCATGCTATTGAAAGGCTAAATATAATTGTATTAAATCTTTAAGCTTTTTACACAATTTTTATGGTAATTAGGCAAAACATCATTACAAGAACAATGCTATTGAGCCAAAGAGTGAATACATTGTTAAATCACTGTATTCAACTTCTGTTTATTAGTGTCGAATTTTTCGCCAACGGTGTACTTATGTTTTGAAGATATTGGAATGATGTCGCATTTTTTGTGCATGTCAAATTTTCTGTTGATCATTTCATTATTTCATGATCAGTACGTACATGTGTTCTCAAGTTCATTCTTTGGCTATGTGTTAGTGCATAAAAACAAGACACAATTATTAAACCAACGACTCTTTAGTCAACCTTTTAGACCATAAAGTTCTTGAATCATAATTTTACTTTCAATCCAAGCAGTAGTGTATGTAAGTCATACATTTACTTGCCTTGTGAAATGCATGCCCACTACAAAAATTTGCTCATTGTGAAGGAGTTCATATTTGCAAATGTCACAAATCTTGTCAATTTGTTCAGCTTCCTTGTTGAAGTAAGAATCGAACTATTTTCTCTCCAAATCTGGGTATTGGGGTTGAGAATAAGCACCAATAAATTTTCATACTTCACAACCTCTACAATTTCGAAAATGAGCCCAACCAAAATTTTAAATGATGATGAGCCATTGAAATTAGTTGGTTTGGAGAAGAATTAAGTAGGTTCAAGTATTTAAATTATTTGCATTCTTTTTAACACAATGATGATTTTGTCAATCATTTATCAAACTGAGTCCACTCTTGCTTTTCAATGGGATGGATACAGTGAGTGAAGTGAGGAAAAGTAGCTCAGCAGACCACTCATTCATAAACAATGTAACAATTGACAATAAGGTCATAACTTGTGTTGATTCTGCTAAAATGTGTACGGGAACAAGTTTGAGGTTAGTACGTGCACCCAGAAATTAGTGAAAACAAAATGAACTAACAAGAGTCCATGCAATCCATATCTGAAATATATCAGATTCTCTTTTATTTCAGCTTTGACAAATAATGATGCCACAGAGTTTGCTCAGTGTCAAGCGTTATTATGGTTTCTAAATGTGGGTGAAGATTGCATGGAAAGCAGAACAAATTCAAGGTTACCTGTACGCAAAATCAACGAAGCGAGCATATTTTTTTCATACAAATATTTCTGGTAAATATTGGGTTTCATTTTGTTGTCTAAACCAGACGAGTTTATCGTAAATTGAATCAGAATCATGGCCTTCAGAGACGAGAACATTTCTAAATAGAGATATGGATAACATGGATATTGGTTTCAGCATGCCTGCCATTAATTCTTCCTCATTGATCCCAAAGATAAATTGGGTACGATAGGAATTAGTGGGAAATACATCAATTAGCCTGAAAGTGCTCTAAAGTGCTGCTGTTCAGAGAGTAAAAGTTGGAATTTTCGACCTTGATCAAGGCATGATCTAGGACGGAGTGGTGGTCCCTTTTCTTCCCGACTGCACTCGCACTGCATTATTTTGACAGGTGACAATGAAGTCGACTGAGAAGCTCGCTCGTGCTTCTAATCCGCTTTGACAGAAGGGGATCCACATGAACACTGCACAAGACATTTATTTCGATTTGTGTAGTTCACTGCACTTCTTCTTACGCCACGGACGGAAAGTGTTTAGCTCCCAAATCCAAGAATGTCTTTCGTTGTGGTTGTAGGATTATTTCGGACACTTTCCCAAGAACAGGACAGGCCATGAAATAAATGCTTCACTCACATCCTTGCATCAACAGAAGAGAGGAATAAGAAGACATATTGGCAGTAAAAAAATCCGAAAATGTTAAAAGTACAAAAACAAAAACAATCCTTATTCGTATACATCTGTCATATGTGCGACTGTTTCATCACGTATGCATATAAAGATGTCATAAAGTCCCTCAAAATTCGAAATCGTCTTTATGCACACAAGTCGCTCCCAACACAATCCGATTACAAAACACCAAACAACAATGCACAAGTTCACAATGCTTTGAGAAGATGGTCTTAAAACAGCTGGACAAATCTCCAGGAAGGAAAGAGAGAGAATCCTTCTCCTAACAAAGCAATTGTTTGATTTTTACTATCATGTTGTGATTATTACGAGAGGAGCGCTGAGAAAATTCCATTTTATTCACTCGCCCAGGATTTCATGTAAGGAGAAGGGTGGGCCATGGTCATAACAATTTTTTGACTTTTCAAGCTCCATTGTCGCATGCAGGCAGATGAGACATTCACGAAACGAACTATGGGCACCACTGCTGGATGTCAAAAAGCTCCGACCATTTTGTGGTATGGCGTGTTTGAGGTAGATTTTAAAACGTCGAATTCAACTTGACACTTGAAAGTGCTCGTAAAAACGGAGTACAAGTGGTCGTGAGTGACCACCAGAGTGGATGGTGTTTGCTCTTTCGAGGTTTTCAGCCAAGAAAGTAAAAGTCGTCGTTCACATGTGGTTCAGAGGAGATAAGTTGCAAATGGTGCTGCAGGCAATAGCGTTCCACATGTGCTACAAAAATCACACATCACGTCGGAAATGGGACATGCTATGATGAGCTATGATGAGGCAGAAGTTCATCTTTATTTTTCAAAGACGACCCTTGGTCTTAATCTTCGTGGGATTTACATCCATGCTTTTGCTATCCGACTACTCGACGATGCACTTTTGTTTGTTTTGATTAAGCTCAAAATTTATGAAAAGAGATTTTTCAAGTTTTCTTCGCCCATTTCATCCATAAATTGCTTCCACTAGGTGCAACTGACCCTATTCACACTTTGTACGTACATTTGTACTCGGCAGGTTTCCACCTTAAGTCAAGTTGCTTGATACAATAAATAAAATTATGAGAATCGGGGACATTTTGCCTTAAAAGGTTGAATTTTGAACTGTTGGATTTTCGCCTTAAGACATTTATTCTTGATTCATGACGTGCGAAATTGCATGTGCTTCTACTTATCATCTTCCCACCAGCCAACACACCTGCAGAAATTTGGGCAATAAGACTAAA